CCCTTAGGAAATGGGATTGTAATTCACTGATTCGTTAACCCAATAATGCATACGAGACCTTCAATTTTGGAATTTTTAATGTAACTAATCTAGCTCAACTATTTATTTATTGGTACATTATTTTACAGAGCTTAACTTCTAATTTGGTTAGTGTCGAAATTATTTCTAAGAATTTACCGGGAGATACAAATAAAAACATAGCAATACTGTGTTCCACACTAAGGCCCGTCACATACATACGGAATTCCGTTTCGAGATTCCGTTTCGGAATTCCGAACAGGTCGGCCACACACATACGGAATCTCGTTTTGCCTTCAAAATTTCGAACGGAAAACTACCGTACGTGTGTGACGGGTCATAGGTTTTATTTGAACTTCCTGTGTTCGGAATCTCGAATCGGAATATCGAAACGGAATCCCGAAACGGAAATCCGTATGTATGTGGTCGGCCTTAAAAGAGAAGTCAGACCACAGAGAGTAAGATAAAGATACATAGGTATTTGACTCAAGCTGTTGTTCCAAGCGTGGCCTCCATCTTCATCTTTATCTAAGTGTCCCTAAAAACGTGTCCAATAAGGGTGGCGCTGCAGTAGCTTAGGATAAATTAAAAAAAAAGCGCCAAATGCAATTAGAATAAGATGGAGAAATAAATAAGGACCGACCAATCCGCTTGGTTTTGTACTACGTAAATAGTTGAGATTTTGTATACTGGCATTTTACTAATTACTCTAATCATGATTTTTTTTAAATATTTGAATTCAGCTGACTTCACTCCGTTCACAACAGCTATCTTCATATCGTAGTTTTTCAGACGCCAGCGCTATTGTGGTAAGTTTTGGAACCTCTATTTTCAGTAAATAGTAGGACACTTTCAACTTTCGCCCATTATAAGATGGTTCTCCTTGTACTCTACACTCCATACTTTATCTATAAATTCATGACTATGCCATGCTTCTTCTTCTTCTTAATAACTGGCTTTACGGCTCTGGGATCTAGCCTTTCTGAGCCTGCGCCAGTATATCTTAAGTCTATGTGCTATGCCATGCCTTAACGAACAAACACAGACTATCAAAAATTGGTTTTGAAATAAATCGAATATATATATAAAAATCACGTAAATATGTATTGGAATTGAAACTAATCGTTCAACAAATTCTAATTTACGGAAACAAACCTCACATAGACAAATATGCAGTGTTTCCGATGCACAGACGATAAATAATTCGTTGGTCAGCTCAAAAAAAAATTATAAAGCAAATTACGCATTGTGTCAAAAAGCCTATCATAACTCATGGCGGCCAATATGACTACAAATTTTTATTTCATTAGATTTATAAACCAAAGTCTCGGTTATTTTTATCTTCCGTCTGGAATGACCAGTTATATAATATGTATGTTTTGTGGGAATGACGGAATGAGACACTGTCTATTCAATAAAATATATTAGTACAGGGCTGCTTAAAATACCGAAAATATCGCAATTTCTTAGCCGAAAAAATTTAATTATAACTAAACAAAACAAAATTTAACTGCCATTTACATTCCATGGCTTCCCACATGATAGATGAAGAGTTTAAAAAATAGATTGAGTTGAACAATTGATATTTTCAAAAGTTATCGTGTTTACGATACCATGTGAACTTGATAACTCCGCACCATAGGCCACTAAAACCCTTTTTTTGTGTAAAAATAGCAATTAATTGATTTAAAAAAAAAAAAAAGTTCAATAATCATTTACCGTTCTGACAATGTACTTTTTATATCACTTGCTATATGTAGATACGATTTCATACAACAAAACATTGGAATCTTAATTTTTAGGCACTAGTAGAACATACCGGTGCGCCGAGCGCTTACGACATGCAATACCTAATTTTCAAGTCTCTCGGCCCGCATTTCCTCTTCTTACAGAATGTTTTTCCTCAGTTACCGGATTCATCATCGTGTCGAGTCGTCTTTAACGTCAAAAATGTTTTGAAATTTAATGTTTAACGATGCGTGATTGCCATGTGGCGGTTTATGTGAGTAGTAAGTTATACATAACGTTTAAGTAGGTTTATCTAGAGTCCGTGAAATTAACATGAGTGCGGTAGCCGGAACACTTAACCACAGTATAAATAAGGACAGTACGGAAACTAAGCCTAGTTGAAGACATAATTACCTACGTTCCATTGAATCAATAGGGTTGTAACTTTAAATATTTTTGATATTGTTTTTTTTTTACATTTTGGTTCTGTAGTGATCAATCAAACGAATTTAAATAACTAGCTTACAAATGCAATTTAAATATGACGAAAAAATTGATACCTATTGCAGCCGCCATCTTGGATTTACATTCCGACAGCCCTATCGGTTTCAACACCCTCAAAAACCATGAAAATGACACCCATGATGAGAAAATTGATACCTATTGCAGCCACCATCTTGGATTTACATTTCGACAGCACTATCGGCTTCAACACCCCCGAAAACCATGAAAATGACACCCATGATGAAAAAATTGATACCTATTGCAGCCGCCATCTTGGATTTACATTTCGACAACAATATCGGCTTCAACACCCGCGAAAACCATGAAAATGACACCCATGATGAAAAAATTGATACCTATTGCAGCCGCCATCTTGGATTTACATTTCGACAGCACTATCGGCTTCAACTCCCCCGAAAACCATGAAAATGACACCTATGATGAAAAAATTGATACCTATTGCAACCGCCACCTTGGATTTATATTTCGACAGGACTATCGGCTTCAACACCCGCGAAAACCATGAAAATGACACCCATGATGAAAAAATTGATACCCATTGCAGCCGCCATCTTGCATTTACATTTCGACAGCACTATCGGCTTCAATACCCTCGAAACCCATGAAAATGACACCCATGATGAAAAAATTGATATCTATTGCAGCCGCCACCTTGGATTTACATTTTGACAACCCTAGCGGCTTCAACACTCCCGAAAACCATGAAAATGACACCCATGATGAAAAAATTGTACCCATTGCAGCCGACACCTTGAATTTACATTTCGACAGCACTGCCGGGTTCAACACCCCCGAAAACCATGAAAATGACACCTATGATGAAAAAATTGATATCTATTGCAGTCGCCATCTTGGATTTACATTTCGACAACCCTATCGGCTTCAACACCCTCGAAAACCTTGAAAATGACACCCATGATGAGAAAATTGATACCTATTGCAGCCGCCATCTTGGATTTACATTTCGACAGCACTATCGGCTTCAACACCCTCGAAAACCATGAAAATGACACCCAAGATGAAAAAATTGATACCAATTGCAGCCGCCATCTTGGATTTACATTTCGACAACACTATCGGCTTCAACAACCTCGAAAACCATGAAAATGATAGCCATGATGAAAAAATTGATACCTATTGCAGCCGCCACCTTGGATTTACATTTTGACAGCACTGTCGGCTTCAACACTCCCGAAAACCATGAAAATGACACCCATGATGAAAATCTTGTACCCATTGCAGCCGCCACCTTGGATTTACATTTCGACAACCCTATCGGCTTCAACACCCTCGAAAATCTTGAAAATGACACCCATGATGAAAAAATTGATACCTATTGCAGCCGCCATCTTGGATTTACATATCGACAGCACTATCGGCTTCAACACCCTCGAAAACCATGAAAATGACACCCAAGATGAAAAAATTGATACCAATTGCAGCCGCCATCTTGGATTTACATTTCGACAACCCTATCGGCTTCAACACCCTCGAAAACCTTGAAAATGACACCCATGATGAAAAATTGATACCTATTGCAGCCGCCATCTTGGAATTACATATCGACAGCACTATCGGCTTCAGCACCCTAGAAACCCATGAAAATGACACCCATGATGAAAAAATTGATACCTATTGCAGCCGCCATCTTGGATTTACATTTCGACTACCCTATCGGCCAAAGAGAATATAACCACTACGTTTAGTTTGCGTCTGGACGCTTGTTTTCAACGTTAGTTTTTTCAAAAGGGTATAAAATTGGGTTTATTAACACTAATTGGATTAAATTGCTTTTAATTGTAACAAATACTATGTACAAATCACTAGGCTTTTTCACAGAGGTACCTACGTACATACTACTCGCAGAGATCGTATACTTATTGTCGCTTGTCGCGCAAAATGAGTGCTCATTATGGCTAATGTTTGTAGATGAATCTATAAAACAACTATTTATAACCAGATAATTACAAATAACTTTTAGTTTAGTTTTATAATCGAATTCTTACCAATATATGACTTTATATGAATATTATCTTTTGCTACATGTAAGTGAAACCTAATTAACATACACATAATAGTGGAAGTTTAAATTAACTCCACTGATGGAATAACAGTTCGTTTTAGTGCCGATTTCACCAACGATGTCGTTGTCTAAGATTAACTAACCGGAGAATAAAGATATTCCCTACTTTTACTCTCAGATAACTTACTGTACATTTCACCATGCAAAACAACAGATTAGTTAGCCTCAGATTAAGTATTCTCTGGAATAACGGTTTTGCTTATCTGTGGAAGACTGTATTTGAATGAGCAAATGAATGATTGTATAAAGAAAACAAATTAAGTATGTCATTGCTTTGACTCTCGGCGAGGTACACAACAAGCTTTTTACTTTAGATGGGTTATACGTCAGTTTGTAAAGCTAAGCTATGATGATTCATTTTCATCAACTGTTGTTAAACGTTGTATTTTATCTCGGTTTTTGGTTATTTTTTCAATTTTAATTAATAATGTCGGACAGAAAACGCAGTCCTAACTGGCAAATGTCGGAAAAGATGTTGCTTGTGGATTTAGTGGCTGAACATTTTAGTTTAGTAGAAAATAAGCGTACCGATGGTGTTACTATGAAACAGAAAAATGCGGAGTGGGTAAAAATATCGGAAGAATTTAATTCCCAAACCACACTTGGATATAGGACGGCAGAAAACTTAAAACCATAGTGGGAAAGTCTGAAGAAATCCACCAAGAAAGAATCGTCTGCTGCAAGGCAAAGCTTGATTCAAACAGGTAATAATCTTCATTTCTACATGCTACTTATGAAGCTAAAGCTGTAATGATTTATACCATGTTAATTGTTAACACCTGTGGAATTTTTTGGGACATCCTTGACTTGTTACTTTGTGTTTTTTATCTCTAATGTTTAATATTTTGTTCAGGTGGTGGACCTGCAAAGCCTAAGCTTGAGGACAGCCCATTTCATAGCAAAATCTTGGCTTTGATATCTACGGCGGTAGTTGGACTAGTCAATGAATATGACAGTGATAACATGAGTAATAATCATGTTATTGAAGAGATTCCCAGCAACACATTGGCTTCCACTAAAGGTACACAATATTTGACTGAACAGCATCACTTAAGTGGTATCTCTAAATTTTATTTAACAAACGAGTGTTATTTTATCAATAATATGTGTTTTTTTCAGTTCCTGATGTAACAGATATATTTATTCCTACCCCTATATATGCCAAGTCCATGACAATGCCTCTGTCTATGGATATAGATACAAGCATACAAAATGATGATAAATCACAAGGAGATACAGCTGTATGTAACCTAAAAATTAATATTAAAATAATATATTCTAAAGTATTTCTTCTAAATTTTTTATAGAGTCAGACTATTAGTTGAATTACCTAACCCATTAAAAGTCTATTAAGTTAGTAATTTTGTTAATAAATTACAAAATTATTCTTATTTTGAAGGATTGGGGAGACTACACTCCAAAACTGCTGCAAACTCCAAAATCTGCACCTCTACGGGCAATGAGTAAGAGAGAAGAGGATGTAGGAACTTCTACTCAAAGTAAGAGTTGGAGTTCCAAGCGCAGACCGGCTCTACCATCTTCATCGCTAGAGGATTTACAAAAAACAAAAAAAAAAAGCTACCGAAATGCAGATGAATTTTGCTGCTGAAGAGAGAGAAGAAGCAAGAAAAATTTTTGAGATGGAAATGAAAATCAAAAATGAAATTTTAAAGCAGGAGAAACTAAAAACTAGGTTATTACTATTACAATTAAGGCGGAGAAAACAACAAAAATAATTAAAAACTGTGACTTAATAAAAAAATATGAGTTTTTTTAACTTTTTTCCCTCAATAAACTAAATAAGATTCCTAAAGTGATTGTTTATTAGGAGTTCTCTGGCTCTACTTCGCTGAGGAGTACTTGATCGTTCACAACTTATTTGTCCGTTTTGTAAGAGCGCCTCCCAAGGTGCTGGAAGAATCAAAGCTGGATCATCAGGTGGAACTGTTTCTCCTCGTTGACGCAATATGTTATGCAGTACCGCTGTTGCTATAATTATAACCAAGGCCTTGTCTAATTTAACTCGTAGTCCTAAAGCTAGTATTGGAAATCTTTGTTTCCAAACCCCATAAGACCTTTCAACAGCGTTTCTTGTCCTGATCTGCGACTCGTTGTACAGTTGCTCTACTGCTGTTCCAGGATTCTCTAGTGGGGGCATAGAATAGGATGTAGCAGCATATCCCCCATCTACAAGTAAAATTCCTTCACCATAATCACCAGCTTCAAATTTTGCTTTACGGCAGCAATTATTAAATATGGTACTGTCATGTGCTGACCCAGGCCATCTTGCGACAATATCAATAATTTCCAAATTTGCATTACATATAGTCTGGACATTAATAGAAAAATAGCCTTTTCGGTTTCTAAAAAGTTCTGCCTGATCACCCCCGGGTGAAGAAATTCTGACATGTGTGCAGTCCATTGCCCCTATAACTCTAGGGAATCTTGCAATACCATAAAACTCCCTTTGATTTTGCCGAATTTCCTGTTGAGTATTTGGAAATTTTATGTACTCGTGGTTCAATGACGCTATGGCAGCACTAACTCTATGTATTATTCTATGTGCTGTAGGTGTGCTGAGCCCACTAAAATCACCGATCGTTAATTGTGAATTATTCGTAGCATAAAATCTTAGTGTTGCCAAAAGCTGATTGATCGGAGAAATTGATTGATTCCTGTAAACAAAAACAGTTTTTATTTAGAGCAATTCATTGCCGTATTATGTACCTACGAACAGTATAAATAGGTACAAAGACTCACCTCTCAGATATAAATTCCAAATGATCTTCAATTTTGATCAAAAGATTATGAGCTGCTGCTTTAGATAACCGAAATCTTATCCTAAAATCTTCGTCATCATAGTCATAAAAATAATTATTCCTTTCTTTTATCCACCTTGGACGTCTTACAACATAGGTTTCATCTTCACTATCATCACTGTCACTGTTGTTAATCATTCTTCTCAAACGTTGCATTATGTAAAGCTATATACTCTCAATAATAATTAAACTAAAAATGTGTTAACCAAACAGTTCAAGAACAAGAAACTTGGACGTACGCGACTGACTATGAAATGTCAAATAATTAACAGCTGACAGCCAGTCGGCCATTTTTAACCGAAGAATAACTCCGTATTCCTTCAGAATCGGGAGTATAAATCTTATCTCTTGGTTAACTATTTATTCTTGGGTTAAATTGTTGGTGAAATGTAAAATTTGATATCCTAGAATAACTTATATCATTACTCTTGGAATAAAACTTATCTGAGTTTGGTGAAATCGGCCCTTAGTTGGATTTCTAAATCCTCGGATTTGCAATGTTTGCCACAAATATGTTTTAACATGTGAATCTTTTCATTTGGTGCATGTGCCAACTGTTTCGCCCATTGCTTGCACCTGAAAAATAATATAAATAAAATCACATTTTTATTGAACAAATAGAATGCTATCAGTCACAATTGATGATGTAATTTCTAAGTATAGTTAGTTTCGGATTGCCATCCCACCGAACTATCAGATTTAGGAAATTGTGTGTTTGTATTTGTGCACACAATCGTACACTATTAAAACCAGTCCCATGTAGATGGCTAGTCCAAATATGCAGTCGCGTTAAACATCATATTACAATTAAAGTTGAACTCACCACATACCTTTCATCATCTAAGGGAAATATTGCTACGAATAGCCTTTTCTTGTTTTATTTTTTCCGCTTCTTGCACCATTTAATTGGCAAGTTTTATAATGCATACCTATTTGTTTTTTTAACAATTGTGTAAATGAACAACAGCTTCTATAACAAAATTTAAAGCAATCTTAATAAACAAAATATAATTATAATAATTATACAAATATAATTGTTTGATTTGACATTTGAACCTATTTGATTTGACAATGTCATTAATAGACATATTACGAAAAACGGAAAGAAGAGATAACCGTCATTAAAATTTGATCCCTGTAGTACATATAATTTTTACTATGGAAGTTGAGCCAGCCTGCTATCGGCTTCAACACCCTGGAAAACCATGAAAATGACACCCATGACGCAAAAATTGATACTACTTACTTTTAGTGCTTACTACTATTATCTATTCTGTGCTTTTAAAATATTTACTTACTTACTTATCTTCACGCACAATCCCTGACGGGGTAGCCAGAGAGAACAGATCGCCAAGTGTCACGATCCTTACATATCTCTTTCGCTTCTTTCAGATTCATTATCTTCTTCATACATGCACGTCTAGGTATCCGAGTACTCTTGACCCTACCCTCTTCGAGCAATTTGCTCACATGGTCTTCGAAAGTTAGTCTCGGTCTACCTCGACACCTTTTAATATTAACTTTCGCGCTATATATTTTCTTCACCATTCGGTCTTCACTCATTCGCTCAACGTGCCCAAACCACCGAAGCACGCCCTTATCAATTTTTGTGATAAGGTCATCTTTCAAACCTGCCATATTGCGAATCTCTTCGTTTCGCTTTCGGTCGGCCATAGTAATGCCGCACATTTAAATAATAAAAATAAAAATTTTTAAAATATTGTAATAAAAAATCTCTCATTATTATTATAATCAAGTATTTAAGAAATTTGGTTATACGAATATTGTGTATTTGTACAGCGATTTCGGCGTCAGTCGCCGTCGTGAGTGGACATTGTTTCGGTTGTTTGCAGCGGCTTAAAACGATCGCTGTACAAATACATAATATTCGAATAACCAAATTTCTTAAATACTTGATTATAATAATAATGAGAGATTTTTTTATTACAATATTTTAAAAGCACAGAATAGATAATAGTAGTAGGCATGCTGAGTGATGCAGTCTCTATTTAGTAATAATTTATTCATACAAGACTGCCGAATACACCGAAAATTTCGCCATTTCGCAGCCGAAAAAAATTTATTATAACTAAACTTAACAAAATTAAACTCCCATTTACATTCAATGGTTTCCCACATGATAGATGAAGAGTTTTAAAAATAAATTGAGTTGAACAATTGATATTTTTATAAGTTATCGTGTTTACAAGCCTTGCGAACTTGATAAATCCACACCATAAGCCACTAAAACCCCTTTTTTATTTAAAATATAAAAATATAATAGCAATTAATCGATTTAAAAAAAAATTAATAAGTTCAACAATCATTTATTTTTCTGACAATGTGCTTTTTATATCACTTATATGTACAATATGATTGCTAGATACGATTTCATGCGACAAAACGTTGGAATCTTAATTTTTAGGCCCTAGTAGAACATATCGACGCTCTTAGCGCTTACGGTATGCAATATGCGCCATACTTAGAATAATAACATAGAAGTAGAATAGAATAGAATATTTTTTTATTCAATATAGATCACATGCGTAATTCTTATTGAAAGTCATTTTTTACTTTACCACTGGTTCGAAAAAAAACCTCTGTCCTGGGAAGAACCAGTAAGATACCCAGCGGGACTTTTTTTTTAAAAGCAAATTTTATATTAATGGTTGTTCAAACTATATAAGTACAAAATTTATTTTGGAAACAGCTTGGAAGCGACCACCTCATTCCCAGGGGTTATTATCAACCATGTATTTATTTATATTATAATAACCCTTTTTATACAGTTTCAACTCAAGTTAATTCTCATGACCGTAAGTGATGCGGTCATGAGAATTAACTTAAGCCGCTCATATAACAATTAAGCATTTTTGAAGAAAGTTTTATTTGAGTAAATCAGAGCTGAATGAAGAGATGGAGAAGTTGCTGGGGTGTTACAGTAGCTGTGTCTGAAGACCGATGACACAGAGGGGGGGGGGGGGGGATGACACGATAATCCTCGAATCCAGCAAATTGTTCTATTATCTGGAGTTAACATCTGTCTAACAGAACAGACTTTGTGCTGGTAGATATAATATAATGGAAAAACTCAATCAATCACACTTTGGTCAATTAGGCGATCGAAGCAATCGCACTTTCGGGCACCAGACCATATAGTTATAAACTTAGAATCTCTATAACCAAGCTAGTTATAACATATTTAAAATCGAGATCGAGAGCGGGCTTACTCATTAAGGCGCAGGTTGAGCAAAATGTCGCACTAGTCGTTATTTGTGCGATTTTTAGGAGCTATCTACTTTTTATTTAAAAGATATATCAACAAATGAAAAACACATTATATTTCTACATAATCTTGATTCCATAAAAGCTATATCCAATTTTTTTTTAAAGGAATAAATATTAATATAATCTCCTTACAACGAAACCACATAAATGTGAAATTATTATTGATAACATGAATCTCCTCCTAAAGTAAGTATTATTTTATTTTGCGATTTACACCAATGGATAGGCAATTTATTAATGAACATTTCTATAGTAAAATTTTTTTCAAAAGTCCAAAATTTGATTTTATTAAGAAATTATTTTAAAATCTGGGCGTATTTACTGCCCACGGGCTTGTTGGAGTCAGTGAGCCCTGAGCTCTTCGACGTGAAGCCCGTGTCGTTAGAGCGTCTGCCAGCGCGCACGCGCGTAATATTATAATATTATTACTTATTAGGTTATTTATAGGTAGTATTATTTGTTTGTTTTGGGTATAATTTTTCGTATTACTTATACATATATTTGTTGTGTTTTTTACTGCGCGATGAAGCTTTTTGCGTGTATTTTCTTTGAAGTAAATGCAAATAAAAAAATTAAGCACCATTAGCATGTAAGGTTCAAATCCATAATTAAAATTTCGACAAATATTATAATTTACACTATAAAAGGCTAATTCAATATTATCACCCAACCACAACTTATTAGATATAGTACTGCCTCGTTGGTCTAGTGGTTGTAGTAGTGCGACTGCTGATCATGAGGTCCCGGGTTCGAATCCTGGGTCGGGCCAAAAAGTCAGTTATGAGTTTTTCATTTATGTTCTAAGTTATAATTAGTATTACTAAGTTATAGTTTTTTGCTAAAATATAGTATATTATTTATTGCTTGTTTTTTCTTCTTTTTCAAAAAATAATTGAGTACATAAGGTGTTCTATACTTATAATTCGGTAAAAAGTATCTAAGTAGGTACTAATATACCTACTTTTTACTATCTAAAAATTTTCAAAACTAAATTTAACTAAAAAGACTAAACTGACCATTTATTTTTAACTCAAAACAGGACATGGGTTTATTTACACTCTAAAAACTATAACTTTACACAATTAGTGTTCAATATAAAATTATATTCGGTATAGACGGTAATTATTAAATGCAACATATTTTTTTTAATTATTAATTACATTTGTCAGTGGATTAAATTTGCTTTAATAAAGTTGGTGATAATTTTAAATAAGAATAAAATTCTGCTTAAGTTTTTTTTATTGTTACCTTTGTTAACAACATCGCCTTTAGAACTAGAACCGTAAGTGTTTCTTTCAGACGTCCACAATTTGTTCAAAATAAAAAAATATTCTTTCTACTGGAGCATTTGTACCAGGGAGACATAAAATATATTCGATTAAAAAAAATTATGTTGAAGATTGTTGACTTTGAATACTTCCATCCAACGAGTTACGGGACAATTTTGTGTCCCGGAGCTTTGTTTGGGGACAATGGGACAGGCGACTGAGAAAAGGGACAGTCCCGTTCAAAACGGGACGTATGGTCACTTTAGCTATAAACCGGCGACGGCTCCGTGGCGCACTGGCTTAGCAATCAGTTGCTGCACTGGGGGCCGCGGGTTCGAATCCCGCACAGAACAAGTATTTGTATGGCCTACAAATAATTGTTCCGGGTCTGGATGTTTGTCCTTGTGCAATTTATGTTTGTAAACTGCCTCCACGACTCTCATTCTATATTACTCTCACTCTGCGAAACATCCTATTTATTTATTTATTCTTTATTGCACCAAATATTTGTACAAAAGGCGAGCTATCTATCTATTTACCTATAGTGAGTAGGTATCTTTTAAACTCACAATTTTCAATGCTTCATTTTTAATATATAAT